ATGTGTTAATAAACTGTCTATGTTAGAAGAAAGGCTTCTGGCCTTGGCTGGGAAGCTCAGTTGTTAGTATCATCCAAGTTATCATGCCAAGTTTCCAGGTTCCATCCCTGGTCAGAGCACTCACAAGAATCAACCAATGCCTTGGCTGGGTGTGGCGCTTGAGTTTCATCCCATGCACCAAAAGGTCGCTGGTTCAGTTCCTGGTCAGGGCACATGCCTGGGTTGTGGGCTTGATCCACAGTAGGGGGAGGGCAGGAGTCAGTTGGTGGATGTTTCTCGCATCATGTTTCTCTTCCTCTCATACTTTCTCTTCCCCACTCTCTAAAAAATCAATAAAAAATATTAAAAAAAGAAAAGAAAAGAAAAAAAAAGAATCAACCAATAATGCATAAATAAGTAGAACAACAAATTGATGTTTCTTTCTCCCTTCTCCTCTCTCTAAAATCAATAAACAATTTTTTATTCCAGTCAACAGTAGACTATTACTGCTTAAGTTTTGGGGGAGTCAAAAGTTATACGTGGATTTTTGACTGTGTGGAGGGTCTGCTCCCCTAACCCCTGTGTTGTTGAAGGGTCAACTGTAACAGAAAAGAAAAGGTGACATGAAAAAGATGTCCACTACAACAGTCTTTGGAATATTTAAAAACTGGAAATAATCTACATGCCCAACAATAGGAGAGTAAATATGTTAGATCCATGAGTTTTGGAACCATAAAAAAATGATGAAACCACAAAGAAACACTGAATATATTTATTTTATTCTTCATCTAATTCTAAAAGGAGGTAATTAAATAAGTAGAACAATTGTATTTTTATAACAAGCATAATCAATTAAAAATTAAATGTTTAGATAAAATATTTACATAAAATCCATAAGATAAAATTTTAAAAAATGAAGTCATTTTAGAAACTTTTTCTTTCATTTTGAGTTCTCTTTATATTAAGAGGTGCAATAAGGAGTTGTTTAGAATGAACTCCTTTCTTTATTGGTACTGAGAAGAGTTTAAATGATCCAAGAGACCTTAAATGCATCAAGATAATCTGTATAATCAAATGAAAGACACAAGGTATCCCTAGTTATACAATGAACTCTGAGGGATACAACAATGTATATCTATCAGTCCTTGACTTCTCGGGACTTGGGAGCCAGTAGTGGAACTATGACATATACTAGCACATGGAATACCTTAGCACTGCTCCACCTCCAAAATCTTTAACACCCCATCTCATCCCGGTACTCCTTTCCTCCCAGCTTTCATGCCACTTGCTCCTGACCATCATTAGGACTGCCAGTCTACTGGTCCCTATGTTTTCTTCTTATCCACCAGCTAGGTTTTATTTTATTTTATTTTTTAAAATATATTTTATTGATTTTTTTACAGAGAGGAAGGAAGAGGGATAGAGAGTTAGAAACATCAATGAGAGAGAAACATCGATCAGCTGCCTCCTTCACACCCCCCACTGGGGATGTGCCCGCAACCAAAGTACATGCCCTTGACCGGAATCGAACCTGGGACCTTTCAGTCCGTAGACCGACGCTCTATCCACTGAGCCAAACCGGTTTCGGCATAGGTTTTATTTTCTTTGTCATTCAACTAAGGCCTATCATTTTAGCCACCCCTTCCACAAGAACCAAGATATTTTGAACATTTACCTTTCCAATTCACCTGCACTGAAAACCCCATCTGCTGGACATAGCCAGTCATTTGCCATCTCACAGCCTAGACGAAGCCACCTTCCTGGGTCCCTGGCCAGTTCCCTCTCTCCCTCCTTGCAGTCTTCCCCATAGCTCACACTTGCATTGCCTCCCACCAATGAAACCACAGGAAGGAATTCTTAAATGAAAACTTTCTTTCCTGGAGCCAAACCCAAAGCCCAGTGCATTCTGCATCAATCAGTCCTCCCTGACCTCCAACTTCAGAGGTGAGGTGACCTTTCCTCGCCGGGACCCAGCACCCCCTGCCTGCTCTAGTCTTTATAATCCACAAGCGTGTCACCCCTGTCTTCAACTGTGCCCCAGAATAAACCTGTCTGCCATCTACAAGGAAGCTTTTCCTCTAGGGCACACACTCTCCTAAATAATTACCATTTGCCTCTCCTCACCCCTCCCACACATTTTAAAACACAGGCATCCTACCTTGGCTGTCCCCGCTTCCCTCTCCCTCCCGATACAGAGTGGCTCCTCCCAACCCTCCACCGGACTGTGCCCACCGAAGTCAAACCCAATGCCCCTTGCATTTCTTACCTCACTTGAACCCTCAGCTGTGTTTCACCCTGTTGACCGTTCCCTGTCTTGAAATGGACTAGTTTGGCTTTTTGGGCCCTCTGGTGTTACCGTACTTAGCAGGATGAATAAACTTTAGGCCACCCAGGAAGGAGAGAGCTGGGCAGGCTCTAGGCTCAAGAAGGAAGTTATAAGCCTAACCAGTGGCCGTGGACAACAAGGAGGTGCGGGCATACGTGTGGGGAGGGGTTTGGGTTGGGAATGGGGGGGATGAGGACAATTATGTGATACCATAATAAATAAATAAATAAATAAATAAATAAATAAATAAATAAATAAATGTTTTTAAAAAAAAAAGAGAGAGAGAGAGAGAAGCTGGCACTTTGCAGGGAGTGGTGGTATGGCAGCTATTAGAGTTAAGATCTACTACCCTGTTTCCCCGAAAATAAGACAGTGTCTTATATCAATTTTTTCTCCTAAAGTTGCGCTAGGTCTTATTCAGGGGATGTCTTATCTTTCCATGCGCTAGGTCTTATTTTCGGAGGATGTCTTATTTTCGGGGAAACACGGTAGATGCAGTTTTTAGACCGGAATTTTCTCCTAAAGACTAGTTTTGTAGACTCCATGTCAAGCTGACGAATGATTCAATGATTTGAGGTGGGTGGAACTCAACCACAATGATACAGAAAACTGTTTATTCTTTTATCTTACTGGGGCGGGGGGGGGGGGGGGGGGAGTGCAATGGAGACTAGAGCACACGGTAGGAACCTGTTGACAATGTTGGCGTTTTTCTCTCTTGGGGTGTGATTAGAAGTGAGGGAAGTGAAATTCAAATCCTCTGGGTCTCTCCCCCAGGAGTCTCTTAACAGTTAAAGCTTCCAAACTGTATTCATCCCATTCGATGAAATGGAATGACACTTCCATTATTAAAACAGCATTACTTTTCAGTTTTAGTATCATTCTTGAAGTACAATGATTTCATGATATCTCTTGACTATTTTGATTCTTTCTTACTCCTAAGTAATATGTCCTTTATCAGACTGCAAAGGCCTTGAGGTTAAGGATCCTTTTTAGTCTCATTTTCTTCTGTCACTTGGAAGATGCTAGAAAAAAATAAAAATAAAATAAAATCCTGCTGTTTAATTTAGCAAATATTTTTAACTTTCCATATTTCAAGGAGTTTTGAATGACTCTTGAATGCAGTATATTATTCTGAGTGCAGAAGTGCAATACAGTAAATATTTAAATTATTTGCATTTTATGAACTGCAGGGGAGGCAGGAAGACCTCAATATCTAGGGAGGATTTAGCACAAAATTGAAATGGCCTGACACCCCCTGTGTATATTGTACCAACCCAAATATAAAAGCCAGAATCCCAAGCAATATATAGAGCTAATTTGGCTTCACTTTATAATAATAGCCCTATAAATCCTGGTAGTTCAGATTCAGTTCCTTAAGGCCAAACACTCCAAGATCCTTACTGTGGACAGCAGCTAGGCCTTTTGGGAACTTGGATCAGGCCTTCTGCAAATAATCAGACCAATGATCTGAAAAGAAATATAGATTAGACAGAGAGGAAGGGAGGGAGAAAGAAAAAACCATCAATGTGAGCTTGAAACATCAATCGGTTGCCTCTCCATACTCCATGGGGGATTGAACCCTCAACTTAGGTATGTGCCCTGGCCTGGAATCCAACAACAACCTTTTTGGTGTATAGGATGATGCTCCAACCATCCAGCGGGCCAGACCTGATTGTTTTAAAAATATATATTTTATTGATTTCAGAGAAGAAGGGAGAGGGAGAGATAGAAAAATTCAATGATGAAAGTGAATCATGGATGAGCTTCCTCGAGGGGGGATCAATTCTACAACGCAGGCATGTGCCCTGACTGAATGGAACAGTGACCTCCTGGTTCATAGATCAATGCTCAGCCACTGAGTCACACCAGCCAGGCAGGCCCGATTTTCTTTTTAAAGCCATTTTATTTTTAGAGAACTTTCCACTTTGGGGCACTTGCCAGAAAATCATTTTCTCTTAAAAAAAAAAAAATGCTAGACTGTGAATGCAGTCATTGAATTCAAAACAGATTTCTCAGAGTGGAATCCCCTGGGCATTACGATTTGTGGCTGAAAGTTGCCTGAAACGGAGGATCTAGAGTTACTCCCTCCCCTCCAACTCTCCCCCCCTTCCCCCCGGTCAAATAGGATTAATAACCTGAAATCGTCAAGTCTCCAGGACCCGCGGGACAATCCCTCTTGTGCTGCAGGCTGCAGCTCCTGTCATTTGGGGAAAGACTGGCCCAGGCACCCTAGTCCCCAGGACGGCAGAGGGAAGAGAAGGTGGTACCTGAGCCAGGTGTGAGCCACTCAGAGGCAGCCTGGGGCCGCCACTCACTTGGAGGAGGAGGAGCTGGCGGCCAGACCCACCGGGCCCGGAGGAAACGCGAGCCTGGGCTGCCAGGTGAGCCAGGGAACGCCCGCCCCGTCCCTCCGGAAGCCGGAGCAGCTCCGATCACCCGCGGGGCGGAGCCGGCCGGGCCACCTGCGCCGAAGCGGAACCGCGGGGTCGGTGGATGCGCCCGGAACCTGGAACTCACCTGCGCGCGGACGGGTGCCAGACCTCACCTGCGCCCTCAGAAAACTGACCCGGGAGCAGCTCCCTGGCATCGCCCAGCGCGGAGGCGGAGGCGGAGGCAGAGGCGATCGGCCGGTCCCACCTGAGCCCCCACCCTCCGTCCGTCCGTTCGCCCGCGCGCCCCAGCCGGCCGAGCCGCCATGACCTGGAGCGCCACGGCGCGGGGCGCGCACCAGCCCGACAGCACGGCGTTCACGCAGCAGCGCCTCCCCGCCTGGCAGCCGCTGCTGTCGGCCAGCATCGCGCTGCCGCTCTTCTTCTGCGCCGGCCTGGCCTTCATCGGCCTGGGCCTGGGCCTCTACTACTCGTCCCTGGGCATCAAGGAGCTGAGCTACGACTACACGGGCAACCCGGGCACGGGCGACTGCTCGCCGTGCGGCCTGGCCGAGCAGGACCGCGCGCCGCCGCCCAGCTGCCGCTGCGTCTGGAACTTCTCGCTGCCCGAGCTCTTCCAGGGCCCCGTGTACCTCTACTACGAGCTCACCAACTTCTACCAGAACAACCGGCGCTACGGCGTGTCCCGCGACGACGCGCAGCTGAGCGGGTGGCCCAGCGCGCTGCGCCACCCGGCCAACGAGTGCATGCCCTACCAGCGCAACGCCAGCGGCGTGCCCATCGCGCCCTGCGGCGCCATCGCCAACAGCCTCTTCAACGACACCTTCTCGCTGTGGCACCAGCGCCTGCCCGGCGGGCCCTACGTCGAGGTGCCGCTCGACCGCACCGCCATCGCCTGGTGGACCGACTACCACGTCAAGTTCCACAACCCGCCCCTGGTGAACGGCAGCCTGGCGCTGGCCTTCAGGGGCACCACGCGCCCGCCCAACTGGCCCGTGCCCGTCTACCAGCTCAGCCCCGACCCCAACAACACGGGCTTCGTCAACCAGGACCTGGTGGTGTGGATGCGCACCGCCGCGCTGCCCTGGTTCCGCAAGCTGTACGCGCGCATCCGCCAGGGCAACTACTCGGCCGGCCTGCCCCGCGGCCAATACCGCGTCAACATCACCTACAACTACCCGGTGCGCGCCTTCGGGGGCCACAAGCGCATCATCCTGAGCAGCATCTCCTGGATGGGGGGCAAGAACCCCTTCCTGGGCATCGCCTACCTGGTCGTGGGCTCCCTCTGCATCCTCACGGGATTTGTCATGCTGGTCGTCTACATCCGCTACCAGGACCAGAACGACGAGGCGGAGGACCAGGAGTGATGATAACCTGCTTTTCAAAGCATCTTGTCCTGCTTCTTGCCAAGACACTCTTGCAAGCTTCTCCCCGTGGCTCCTTACCCCTCGCCCCTCGCCCCTCGCCCAGGTCCAGCCTAGCCTCACTTTCCCCCTCCTGTGTGGATGAGGCGACCGGAGAAAGTAATGGCATCCAATTGGGGGCTACCGGACTGGTTGGGATGTTGGGGCTGTAGACTAGGACGACCTTGCAAGACTTCCCCCTCTCCTTCGTGATTTCCTGAGTTGATGCATTCGTTGATCCGTAGCATTTGAGAACGAAAGGGAAGGTAGAGACTCCTTTTCGTCTACTTAATGAAGACGCAGGGACCTGGAGGTGTTAAATAACTCATTCACGATCAGGCAGCCCCTCTTTGGCTCCTGACTCTAATTCCGGAGCCTTTACCACTACTACAAGTGGTTTCATTATGTTTTTCTGTTTTTTCTTCTTTTGGCAGGGATGGGGTAGAGAGGGACTCCCACAAATAACCTATGGAGGTAGGAAGATGTGGGGGAGGCCATGGAGGCACCATCCTCAGAAATTCTAATACAATGAGGCCACAGCCCCTCTGGAAATTCCTCCTGACTCAGGAAACAAGTCGAATACTGATTTGTTTCCCCATTTCCTCCTGTGTCTGGGGCTGGGCCTGAAGCAGTCCCCCAGGCCAGCTTTTCAGCTAGTCAATTATTCCCAGGGCCTGTGCAATAGGTGTTACAGGTCTGGTCTAGCACTCCTCCTTGAACTTGGAAGGGAACATTTTAACCCTAGAATCCAGAAGCTGTAAGGGATCTTAGAGGGGAAGTGGTTTTTCTAAGCCTTATCTGTGTCTCCTGAATTCCCACTCAGTCCTCTGTGTCATTAAATGATTTCTTATGCTTAAAGAGAAAGGACTAAATTCCTACCTTTTCCCTTAGGTCTAAGAAAAAAAAAAACACACTTTTTAATTTATGTTGTTCAATGGAGCTCGTTTGTTCTAGTAATTATGTTTAAATGAATGCTAAGGACTATCGTCTGATATGTAAAGTAGAATCATAAGAATTGTTTGAACATTTGAGATGTTAAATTCTGACTACTCTAAAAATAATCCTAATATATACAAAGTTATTCTAAGAAGCAAAAGAATTTTTAAAGCACTTTTTTATGGCTCAGGAACTTAGTGAAATCATGTTAACCAGTTTGCTGGCTGAGAGTGGTCATATGTGTTCTGTCAGACAGAGCCCTCCAGCGCCTGCTCTCTCTCACAGCTCCTGTCCAGTCACTACTGGTTTTGCTCAGGCCTATAAAGCAGTGCAAGGACTTGAGGATTTTTCTTTTAGTAATCAAAGAAATGCTGAATTGTACTGAGTACTTTAATTTTATTTTACTCTAGTTCTTTAAAAAATAATGATGGGTGGATAGTATGCATATTCATGACATCTGGTCAGATCTTCAGGAATGTGATTTCAGAGATTCTGTTCCACTACCTGCATATATATAATTAGCAATTCCAGTGTGTTGGTTTCCCAGTTCCTGAAGGTGACACAAGTTTATGTCAGATTGCACACTGTGATTTTAGGCTATGAAAATATGATCATTATATAGAGTAATTTTTATTTATTATGAATGTCTAATTCAGCAGCTCACTAGCTTAGCTCTTCTTTATGTAGGATAAGAGAATTTACTCCATTTTTTTTTTTTTTTTTTTACTATGTAGTTGAGAGCAATAATGTATGTTTGCTATCAGTTGTACAATATTCAGTCTATTGCTATAAAATTTTAAGTGAGACTACAAAATGTAAAGTGTCTGATTAAATCAGTGCGTCAGGCCCTATTCTCTGGGTTTTTGAAGGAGAATAAAGGTTATGTTTGTTTTACCTTTGTTATCATGTTTGCTTACTGCTTTTGAACTATGATCTTAAAGGCACAAACAGTACCAACCTCTTTGCTCATTTATTATTAGCAGACTTAATACTGCAGCAAGAAAATCATCTTTGAGAATATGGCTCAAAGTGAACTCAATCTTTCAGTGCTAGCTACTTAAAACAATTGAACTTATTTCAATATCAACATGTAGTATGAATTAAATGATCTTCAACTGTTTGAATTTAGTAAAATGTGGTCAATTTAAAAATATACATTTAGGCTGAAACCGGTTTGGCTCAGTGGATAGAGCATCGGCCTGCGGACTGAAAGGTCTCAAGTTCGATTCCTGAAAGGTCCCAGGTTCGATTCCCGTCAAGGGCATGTACTTTGGTTGCGGGCACTTCCTCAGTAGGGGGTGTGCAAGAGGCAGCTGATCGATGATTCTCTCTCATCGATGTTTCTAACTCTCTATCCCTCTCTCTTCCTCTCTCTGTAAAAAATCAATAAAATATATTAATATATATACACATTTAGTATTAAAAGTAATTAATGAATGTAATTATAGCAGTCTTATTCATTTCTGTACTTTACTCAAATTCTGAATTGCATTTATTTGTTAGGTATTTTGTACTACAAAATCTCAAACCTTAAAAACAAAAATGTGAAACATTTTCCTGTGCAGTAGCATTTTGTTTGCTCTCTCAGGATTCTAGCCAGGCTTGAATACTTCTGTTGCCCAATAAATGTGTCCTAGCTTAATCTGTCTTCTGGGATGAGAAAGAAAAAAGTGAACCTCAATAATTGGACTGGAAATGTGCTTTGACCTATCTTGATAAAATAGAACGAAAAAGACAAACTATGTGGGAACTCCCAAAACAATAATATAACAAAGATTTTCCATGTATTTCTAGAATCAAATAAACTAAAACAACAATTTATTGATTGTGCAATTGTTAAAAATCAGAGACAGCCTGACCGGTGCCACTCAATGGTTGAGTTGCCCTATCAATCAGGAGGTCACAGTTTGATTCTTGGGCTCCCTGTTTGAGGCTCTGACTCCAGCCAATTGATGATTCTCTCTCATCATTGATGTCTGTCCCTCTCCCTTTCTGACATCAATACAAATATATTTTTAAAAAATCAGAATAATAATCTGAGATTTCCTTTAGTAACAAATATCAATTGACAATATATAACCACAGCCCTTCTGCCTCAATTTATCTTTTTAAAAATATATTTATATTGATTTCAAAGAGGAAGGCAGAGGGAGAGAGAGATAGAGACATCAATGATGAGAGAGAATCATCGATTGGTTGTCTCTTACATGCCTCCCTTAGGGATCAAGCCCACAACACAGGCATGTGCCCTGACTGGGAATCCAACCATGACCTCCTGGTCCATAAGTCAATACTCAACCACTGAGCCACACCAGCCGGCCTCTGTCACTTTAAATTCATTGTTTCCTTCCTGTCAATGGTAATCTCAACAATCTTAAATTCTCAGAGTTATTGGTAGAGCTGCAATATAATCAATTCCTTACATGCCCTTGGATATAAGTCATCAGTTACTGTCATAACAGGAAATTCTCTCTTTATTTTTATCTCTTTGCATTCCAGATATTGTTTCTGTAGCTAAAACATAGCTGACTCATTTTAGATAACAGTTTTTTTTTTTTAATTTCACTTCGCTTCCCACCCCCCACCCCACCCCCACACCCAGAATAATTTTTCTTAATTTCCCTCTGACAAAAACAAAGTAGTTTTTCAAGTGTCATTAAGAAGGCCCTGGTGAATCTGAAACACATTAAGGTCCTGAAGAACTCTTACATGAGAGCAGCACCTTGTGTAAAGAATTTGCAAAAATGTTAAAAGCATTGACCATATACAGCATCTCCCACAATTGCCCTAATAAGACTAACGATGTATACTCAGGAAAGAAGATTTCCCCACTGTTTTGGTACCTGTGCTGTGAGTCCCCCCTTAGCACCTAATTGTGTAAATTAGGTCACTGCAGCAAGCCAGTATGGAGGTTCAGAACAACTCACCCCAAAATGTGCCTCTGTAGTATGCAGATTGTTGTGAGCTAAAGACAGCTTTAGCCGGGACTCAAGAGAAACTTCTGCCCCTCAACTATCTAGAAGGACTTGAAACAGGGGCCTTGTCCATAATAAGAAATGATCAGAGATGGTCTCTTTTGGCCTGTCTTAGGATAGGGCAAATTTCTATTTACTAAGCATGTTCTTAGCATTCTGCAGTGACTCTTTGAAGCCCCTCCTGCTCTCCCTCCCCCACCCCCACTCCCGACCAGGGGCACCTTACCTCATCTCTAGCTCATGATGCCTTTTACATTCTTGTTCTCTTTCTGTCTCTGAACCTCTCATGCATACAGAGTCTATGACTCTCACAGGTATGCGGGGTTCTCCTATAAATATATGTGTTAAATTTGGTTATTTTCTCTTGCTAATCTGCCTCGTGTCTTTTTGATCATTAGACCAGCCAAAGACCCTTGTCAGTAGAGGAAAGGGTTTGTTTCTCTACCACACTAGAATTTCTTTATTTCATGTATGTGGATGGGCAGGTCACCAGAGGACAAAATATATCCTGCAGCAGTGAAACCCAACATAGACTGTTTGGGCGTGTAGAAAGATAGGCGAGGGGAAATAAGACGGAAAAATGAAGTTTGGAGTATGAAGCATTTTCTGGGTTATCAAGGTGTGTGTGTTGGGGGGGAGGGCTGTCAGGGAAGGGAGCTGGTAGCAGAGGGCAGAGCTCACCAGCAGATTCATGGATGACAAGGCCTTTGAGAAACCCAGTAAGCCGAAGGTGGCTCCCCTCCTGAGCCCCTCAGCTTGTTTTTTTGATCAATTTGAGTATGATTTATCTTTTTCCTTAGAAGCCAGGGTATTGCTGTCAAGAACCTTCGCTAATAGCCTTGCCCTCCACACTGAGCACTAAAGTTCCCGTTGAAGTGGCTGAAACCTTACATTGCCGATGAAAACTGTAAATGATATGTAATTAATAATGCTACTTTGTTCTCCAAAAGGCCTTTGTTCTGGAAGTCCAAGGTGCTTAACACTATGTGGTCTCATTAATCTTACCCATCAAAACGCACGAGTTTTTAGAAAGTCATCAAGACTGATGAAGTA